TAACTTAGATCCGTTCATGATTTCAATGAAATTCAACAATCTCCACAACCTCATACTGACAATTATTACGGGCTCAATGGCGACTAGCTTCAAGAGGGAATTTATAGGGTCCTAATGAAAAGTGGAATTAAATCGCGTCGGGTGTGAGACAATTACCCTTGAAAGACAATGGAAGATGATCGCACAACAACTCAGATTGATTGAAGTTAGACACTAATATCGTCGGATACCGGCTCAATGGTTTAAAGATTAAGGACATGCGCATGAGACAAAAAGTCCTTCATTTGAGTTCCACGTGTGTGGAATCATGGATACGCACTAGTGAGGAGTTCTATACTACGATTGAAATATCCATTCAGTGCTTTTAGGTTTCAGTAATGGTCTAAATTTAATCCTTTCTATATCTCAGTAAAATTCAGCAATTATTTACTTTCATATTTTAAGTAACTACTAAGATAGTTAGAATGAATCTTTTCCCCGGATTTTATTTCACAGCAATAAAAAAATATGTCAGTTGTTTAACTCACTAAAAAATCTAATCATATGTTAGGAATTACTCTAATTTTTTCTTCTCTTTAGATTGCAATGTTCATTTGTGTATGCACTCTCATGTATTTACATAAATGTTTGTTCGGGCGATGAAATATACCCTAATTATTATATGATTCTTATTGTTATATGACGTAAGCAATAAATAGAAATAAATAAATAAGTAAATAAATAATACAACAGTCATAAATCTCTTTGATACTCATCTTTTTCTTAGAAAACAAATGATATTCATCATTTACACCAAGAATTACACAATAAAAACAACAAATGAATGAATCAATGAATCAATGAATGAATAAAAACAATTACAAAATTTTATTTAAATCTATTATCATTAAATAACAAATGTGTAGGCGGGTAAAAGCTTCAAGTTAATTAAGATAAACAAGTGTGAACATGTTAATAAATAACAAATAATGATAGAAGTCAGTTTATTATTTTGTGCCAATTATAAGTAAATACTAAAATTAGTAGTAGGTTGATGATAGGTGTTTCTTTTTCTTTTTCTTAATAGGTACGAGCAGCATTGAAGAATTTCCTTGTTTAGTTGTAGATAAATAACATGAGTGTAGGTCGATATGTCAGCTGAAAAGAAAAAAAGGTTTAAGATCTAAGTGAGAAATCATGATGATTCAATGTGAATATGAGAAAATACAAACAAGAGAATAGTTAAAATGATTGCAAATTTAATTAAATTCTTCTTAATGATGTTTAAAAGTACTTGAAAATAGATCCGTGATAACATTACATTCAGTTGGAACAGGACACATCATCCACTTTGATAGATTGAAAATTGTTCGGAAAAGTTCTAGTTTATATATATATATATATATATATATATATATATATATATATATATATATATATATATATATAAACGAATTGAAACGATTCGAATAGACGAGATCGAATACAATTAGCTGAACTGTCGTAATTAATAGCTAATGTGTAAATACAAATTTGTTCTACTATTCCTTTCTCATCTCATACTTTCTAGACAAAATCGATGTACTTTCATTCGTTTTGATCATTTATTATATTCTGAAATGTCATGAATAAGCAGCCCGTTTAATGTAATCAGTACAATCATGCAGTTATTCACATTCTATGCATACTATGATAAGTCTGATATGTGATTGTATCTGTCAGGCTGATTAATTTAGTTCGCAACCATAGCCTGGAGTTATGTATATGATCAATGGTCTTTTTTAACATAATATCTTCATACGTCTACTCACATTTATTCCCGTATCACCTTTAACCACATCTCACACTAATAACTCACATTAATACTGACACTTTAAAAAATCATTCCGAAATCAACATTGGACAATGGTTTAGTATACAGTCGGTTTGTGAAGTATATGTATATCTGATAATTTGATTTCTGATTATTTCCTTGAAGAAATTCGTACCAGATTGTCGAACGAAATATGGGAGTTATTTTAAATCCCAATAGCCTAGATTTTTATGAATATAATTCCCCTTCTACTATCCTCCATAAACTTGGCATCCAACTACTGTGAAACTATTTATTCAAGAAAATATTTTTATAAATATGTTATACACTATCAATGCAATAGAATATTGAGAAATGTGTAGATATCGTCTAATGTATGAAAATCGTTATTTTGAATATGCTTGGATAATATCTAACATTTATTTCTGAGTATTCAGAGGTGGACTTAAAAAAACACAAGTACATGTACATTAATTATTAGTTTAAAATTTAGAAAAAAGCCCATTAAACACGCTACTAAAGTATACTGACATATCTATGTATATACGCAGCAGGTACGTTTCTTCAGGAGCTGATATTAACTGAAGTACGATTGGTTCATTAGAACTTCACTTCATGAAGCATGCATGGAATAGAATCCAAGTCATTAATATTTTCAACTTGAATCAATTTGTTCCGCGGTACAGTTACAATCTTATATCATTAACAAATCACTGCTTCACCTCCGTCTTGGTTGATATTATAGAGCAAGTCTTAGGACTAGAAAAAAGTTTCAAACTAACTTTAGCTTACAACAAAAAACACTATTCCATGTATTTTCCTATATCATATTTTCAGTGTAATTTAAATGATCATATCGGTAGAGTCAGGTATATATATATATATATATATATATATATATATATATATATAGTTGTTCTTTCTTAATTTTATCTTCACTTAATATCAAGCTTTTTATGAACTTGTGTTGTGTCCTTGGGTTACATCATTTAAACATAATTGTTGTGTACGTCAGTAGTCACAGTATCAAGTTCTCATTAGTTCCCAATCAGAATTGAAAAGTCTCAGTCGTCTGTAAACATCAGTAACCATGACCTCGACGGAAACCCAAACTTAACTACTCATTAAAATTTAACAAATTTCTGTAACATTGATTGTTCGCTTAAATTTTTACAAATCACTAAAAAAAAAAAGAAAATTAGAAATCTATAAAATTATAAGAAGATCAAGCACATGAGTTAAAGGTAGATAATTTTCGGTAAAGGCTTGTGGAAATTGTTGAGTTTTAATTGAGATGATAAACCGATCGATGCACTGCTGAGAAGTCTCATACTAAGACGAAACAACCATCCAGTGCTTCCAGGTTTTCAACGACGATCTAACATCGACCTCAATTAAGGGGAAATGATTGAATTTTATGTAGAATTATTATTATTATTATTATTACAAATCATTTGTCACATAGTACTTAAAACGACTACCATTTATAGTTAACACATAAGATATAATAATATTTATATTTTAAAAGTTAATTAATCACGTTCGAACACTATTCCAAATGTCCAATCTTTTATTGTTTGAAAATAACTCCGATTTATCTAGTTACCTAGTTATTTAAAGTTGAAAGTACGAATCACCAGCCTGAGAATCTATGATTAGAGTTTGTGATTCTGAAGAGGCTTAAAAATACCAAATTTAATCCCATTTTAACATTGTTTGTGTACACTTTTTTGATAAGAAATGAATAGATACAAAAGAACTATTTAGTTTCTTATAACTTTCAACGTCGTACATAGTGAAGTGTTGTTTTCAAACACACTACTAATTACAAGTTGAACTTCATAATATTTTCTTTCTTATTCATTTCTGGTTAAAGTCATATTGGTAAAACTATATGACATCATAAATGAAGTTGGTTAATGACACTTGGTTCGTAAAGAAATTTAAAATGGATAACTCTGTGAATTAATTTAATCCAATTGATTTATTACATTCACTTGTAACTAAAATTATTATTCTATATTTTAACCATGGAAAAACTTAAGTCAACTTTAAATAATAAAGAATGATACTACTCACAATTAATTAATTACTAATAATAATAACTATGTTTTTTTAAGGAAAGATGGATACCAAGTGAATTTATATTTCTATTATATTCTTCTAACCAACCGACCAAGATATTCGAACTCATATCATTTGTTTGTTTTTTAGTGATAAAGCCATATAGTGTCAGCATGCATGAATTAATGTTTGTTTTCTGTGTGGACATTTGAATGTGTGATGTACTATTATATATAACTTTTAAAAGGTATTTAGTTATTCTTTGATTTTTTGTTTTCTCAATTATGAGGAACAATTATCAATCAATTATTTAACTAATTAATTAATTAATCATTATTAGCGAAGATGGATAGCAAAATGGAATCCAGGACGCGCATTCTGTTCTATTTGAGGATGTACCTACATCTTAGAGTCAATGTTCATTCTGGAACTCAAACCCAGTACTGTAATGAATTAATCAACTGGGTTTAGCCAGTAAATTTTGCTGGTTGAGTCTTGTTCTTATAAAGACAGTACAAAGCATGAATAAGATGTATTGTATATAAGAAAAGTTATATTTGGTTATTTATTAGCGAAGAATCTTAAAAGTTACTGATGCCTTAGTTCAATTTCAATAAATGATAAAGAAATTTATAAATAATGTCCAATTTAGTTAATAGTAGAAATTCTATCCTAAATCATTATGGTATGCTTATCAGGAGTTTTAGTTTGAGATTGCACATTCACAGCAACTCTTTTTTTAATACCGTGATTCTCTTGGGTTTGCTTGAAAATAGATCATTCACTGCAGTTGTCGGGTCAACTTTCTTCTGGGATATAAGTTTATTTGTTCTAGAAGAATCACCTCTGTCTTTTCTTCTATGTCATTTAGGGGCTGTGATAGACTGAAAGTGTCTGCTAGTGTTTCCAATGGAAAGCTAGCTCTTTTACTTACTGCTCTGACAATACACTGAAATGTCGTATTCGTTTTTCTTTCCCAACTGCTCATACATTATCTGATCTAACCTTCGTGTCACATGCCTCTCTATTCATTCATCGTGTAATCTCAGACGAACAAAGGAGCTCCGATTTTGAATGCTAGGGATTTCATTGATATCACGTTTCTACAAGTAATCCTTTTCTGTGACATTTGGTGATGGTTTAGATGTCTGCAGTTTATACTGGAAAGGCTCAAACAACTGTGTACCAAAGACTTAGTGCACAATCTTTTGCACCTAATAATATGATTACCGATCCTCTAGCTGCTGTTACTAGATGTGTCAGTGGGTCGCGTTTTTAGGATTCTTCAGTTCGAAATTATATCAAAGTGGAATCGGTGGCAATCTCTGTGCGTCGGTATTTCGGATCTTGAACCAAAAACTGTAAGTAGTAGCTTATACTCTATTAAGAGTGTAAATTACAAGCCACACAAAAACTTGTGAAAGCGACAGAGGGAGAACACCGAGGCTAAGGTTTTCTTTCCTATTCGACTAAATTTTTTCGCTATCGGGGTTATTGTTAGGGAAGCATGAACAGTGGCTTTTCCTTTTCTATTCTTTAATGAAGGTAACATGAATGCATCAACACCACAACTTGAAGTATCGGCCGCTACAATGGTTAACAACGTGGGGTTGCAATGTTCCAGTAACATTTCGGAGCTAATTAACGATTTGAGTTTACAAATTGTTGATTCATATTCATTAAAATAATCAGCCTACACCAATTGGTAACCACTTGAGATGACAACAAAGCACTAGTTTTACTGTAAGTGAGATCATAATCATGTGATAATAAATTGAACTTGACTGACTGATTTATTTGGAATCCGCTAGTTGAATGACCTATTTGGCTATTTGACTAAAATAAAATCCAGAGTTTACAAGAAGAATCATTTTATACACTTCGTATATATTTCATAATTCACAGTTAGAATTATCACAGAAAGAGATATGAACATCAATATTTACCCACAAACCGATAACCTTCTGGACACACAACTTATATTTAATCATCGTATACGTGTTAAATTCCAGCTTTACTTGCACTATATTTTGTGTCACAGTTAAAATTAACAGTTTTAAGACTTAATGTCTTGAACTGTTTTTCTTTTTTACATAATTCAGGTTTGTTGTTATCTGTCAAACTACAGTTACATATTGTAAACTTGCATCCAACAATTCTTGCAGACGGAAGCATAATTCGTCATAGAACTAAACGATGGGCCTTTTATGAAATACATAAATGTGGTCGTATTAAAGGATATAGTTGTTTAGAACATCGTCACTGTTATGAACGTTATCTGCGTCGTGATATGGTTTGTTTTGAAGTTTATCCATGTTTAAGTTCATGTATATTTATTGCCCAGGTAAGAGCTAATAATTTGGTTAATTAGTTATACTGTTTATACTTTTTTGAATGTTTATTTTAATGTTACTAACGTAGGACAGATAAAGCATTAAGATCCAACAACCTGATGCTTATCATCTTGATGCTTATTAGTGCAAATGAAAATATCATATCAGAAACATGTTAATGGTCTAATTGTTGCGCGCTAGTCAGATGACCTGAAGGTATTAGGTTCAATCCTGTTAGAATCGTTGGTGTGCACTTCTGAAGAGTTTCATTCTAGAATGAAGCATATATCCAGTGCCTCATAGTTTCCAGTCATTATGTAAACAAGGTCAGTCCGTGATGCAAACTATAAAAAATTTCAGCGAACAGAACACATTATGTAAAAAGATGTCATTTGCGCCAGACGTTTCATTGGCATATTAAACAATATTCTGTTCATATGTTCATCAAGAAGATACTTGAGAAAAAATAGTTTTACAATGAATGCGTTATTGAATTCTAGATATTTCTTATTGGACTACTGCATCAGTGTATGTTATATTATCAATATCTATTCTGAACTATTATAATTCTGTAAGCTCATTATTGAAGTGTAATCCAGATCTTAGTATTGACTAGATATTGTTCAATACAGCATAAGTTGATTTAGATAATATAATATTAAAAACTTGTTATTACATAAGAAAATGCCTTAGGGATTTATTATAGCAAAACCTAAGCCATTTACGACTGGATGGACAGATTAGTTGTGACTAGCAGTGAAATCACGAATGCGCCATATTGAGGCCACCCCCACAGGATCTAGATTTACCAATGATGGCTGAGTAAAACTCTGTACTAAGTATCAACAACGAGATAATTTAAACTCTTTATAAGTAATAACATGACGGAATGAGTTACAATATAATTTCCAACACATTTGTTTACTTAACCTTAATTTGAATTTTTGTTATTGTTTAATAAAATTTATTATTACTAAGTAGTATAAAACATATTCCTTGAAAAAAAGACACTAACTATTGTTCTTTCATACGTGAACTGTTTTTTTTTAAAAATATAGATCTTTTTTTTGTTTTACAGCTTCACGATGCTGAAAAATTAAATGAACAAATTAAAAAATTATTATTAGACGGTATACCAGTCAATAATCATAACGATCCGATTAATTATGTACGAGAACAAACGGCAAAATTATTGAAGGAATTAAATTTAACTCTACCATTGCATAATCAACCAGAAGTCTCAATGCCATCATCACCATCACTATCATCATCATCAGCAGCAGCATGATCGTCTAGTATGAATTAACCCAGGAGTTTCACTACATTACAGGGCAAAAAATTATGATGATAATTTAGAGAAGAAAACAAGATCGAATTATTATTATTATATCTTTTTTTGTTTTGTACGTGTTTTGTATTTCTTTTCAGAAATTATATTTGTATTTAAGTTTTCCTGTTTATTTGTATATTTTCATGCCTTGAATGAAAACTTTCCTTTTCTAAATTCATTGAGTGAAATAAGTGCATTTGAGAAATGGTCATTCTCATCCGTGGTACAAACAATAATATACCTGCATTAATAATTCCAATACTACTAGTAGTAACATTATTATTATTACTACTACTACCTAGACTCATGTTACTACCAATATTACTGATACTACTTATAAAATAACAAATATTATAGGGAAATAAAACAACCAGGAAAGATTAAGATATAAGAAGAAATAGAGACAAGACAATCTGTGATATGCATTATACATATGTACATACTTCTTTGTTTGTTTTTTTAAAGATATAAATGTAATTTTTATTATTATTTCTCATGAATATACTACTTATTTGTAAAAAACATCCAGAAAATAAAATTTGTACAGTAGTCTATTAATTATTATTTTAAGTTGAAGATTTTGATGTTGATAGTGCTACTGATGAATAGGCTGTTTGTTTCATTTCAATGAATGCAAAAGAAAATCTCATATGTTTAAATGGTGAGCGTCTAATGAGTTTAGATAAATCTTATTGATTTCACGATTATATAACAGTCTAGATTGTGAAAGCTTTCATCAGCGCGGTATCATTTGTCAATCATTTTAATAAAACAAACTATTATCTGTGTGGTTCAATTATGATAAGATATTCATCACATCATGATTCAGGTGAGACTATAATTTATGGACCACCTTTGAGCGAGGCTGAAGTGAACTTTAAAATAACCACCTATTAAATAACACTAAGTAAGAGTAATAAAGCAGTGTTAGGAATTAGAATTAACATTTACAGTTGACGATTAGGGTTTTTCATCACGAACTGACATCAGCTAAAATGTCAAAACACTATTTAGCCAAATAGATGAATGAATTGTATGCCAAAATCCAAGACCTGTTATCTTATTTCTGATTGGTTCATTCATTAAATTATAATCTCGCCATGATTCAAATTCTAAGTGTAGTTAATTCAACTTCTTTGTTGGTCGTTTTTTTCCATTTCATTTCAGTTGGTGTAAGATAAATAAATTTTGTCTCATTATAAAAAACAAACGAGTTTATCTTATGTTCACTGTAACAGTCGACCTTAATTACAAAAAGACAATTAGATAAATTGTTCAATGATTCTATTAAGTGGAAATATAAATGAATGAATCATATTCACATAGAAATTATATACAAAAACCTTTTTCTTACAAAAAAAGAAACGCATATATATTGTGATATGTAAGCAAAAGTGAATGATATTTTGGATACACCATAGGATGTATATATTAGGGAAACAAGATGTTTATTAGTTCATATATCTGAATGAAAAATACCATTTACAATTATCTTATAATAAGTCAAGGTTGTCTGGTTATTATATTCGGATATTGGTGTCCTGTTTTCAGTTAGGTACTGATAATTTGATTTGATTATTCAAATTAAAGTGACTTTAAATTAGATAAATAATAATTATGTGAGAATAGTTGAAGACTATTGGTATTATCAGGAGAACAGAACAACTATTTAGCTATAGTTTAGGCCTACTTGACCGTACATACCTATGACACCATATGAGGCTGAACATAGAACTCTTATCTCTTATGGTGATCACGAAAACTTCAGATTATTAAGTTGTAAGCCAGCAATCAGTCATGTCAAGAGTGAGATAGGTACACATCATCGTCATTGGATGATATCCACTTTATATAACCAAATTATTTAAGATGAAGATATCAGTTACTGTGTGCAGATTTTTCGTTCTAAAGATAAAGTACTCGCTGCAAGAAATGAAATTACTGTGTTCCATAATGTATACGGTGCTTTGAACGCCTACTTCGTGGGGGCTCTGAACAAAACGAAATACCTCTTCAATAGTCCCTTAGTTTTTGAGACTTGTAGTCGATTTTTATTTTGTTGTCATGACTATTTCAAAAATGAATTATTTTTCATTGCTCAAAGTAGACTGTCTTGTCTTCTATATCACTTCACGTGTTATATTCATATAGAATGAAATATATTGAGATGCACTTTCAGTAAATGAATAATTTCTAGTGTGTATACCTAATATCAGATTAAAGTAACTTCGAACTATATGAATACATCTATGTGATAAATTCAACACTCAGTGACTAAGTGCTTTCTCTACTCATACCGTATTTACAACTGTGTCTGATTGGATTTAACCCGGCTATATTGTTAAAATGATAATGATTTTAAAGCTCTGTGTCATGAAGATAAGAATTAAAATTTGATTGTTAGAATATTGGAAATAGGAACGATACATAACAAATCAAAAACTATCAAAGGATAAATATTTTGGGTTTTCTGTAGTATACTACTCATAATTAACATAAACTATGTGATTAATATTTAGCATAAATACACGTCAATCTAAGCCGCCACATGACATCGATACAGTGAGAAGAATATGTAGCAAAGAATCTCTGTAATAGTAGTATCTGTGATAGTTAAATAATAAACAAAGAGGTGATTACTAAAGGAGGAATTAATTCAAATGTCAAAAAGTAAGAATTAATTTTAGATCTCAGTATATGAAAAAAACATAGTGAATAGACGTGGGCTGTGTAGATTATTGGATTTCGTTAAAATCACGAACTGATCTAAGTTAGACCACCATTGAAACCTGTAGGTACTAGACAGCCATTTTATCCTAGTAAGGCACTCTTTAGCTGTGTGTATCTACGACCACACGACCGGAAATTGAACGCAGGATCTCTTATTGTGCGCGCAAACGCTAAAACTCTACACAACTGATCCGCAATCCAATGATGTACAGGTTCAATTTCAAAACGTTCACACTATCGTGCGACCACCTTTAACTGTTTTCTGTGAGTACCTTCCTCACATCCGACAAGGTTAAACCCCACTAATCACGGCACCCCAATAGAACTACGGAATTTTTCTTGAAGCTAATTACTAATGACGACATGATAATTATCAGCGTGGGTTTTGAAGATTATTAGATTTCATTGAAATCGTGAACCTGTTTATAAGGGTTTCTGAAATGATGGCTTGCCTTAGTTTTGTTCCTCCTATATGTTTTTCAGCTTAGTCCTACACCAGACATCCATGAAGTGGTAATCAGTGTTTGGTCTTTTATACTACATTCCCTGTCTACTTTAGTCGACAAAACCTCAGTCTTCTACAGGCTGATTTTGCTGATACACAAGCACAAATATACTATACCCATTAGTGAACGCCTAAATTATCACTATAACAAATAGAGTAGTCAATCTTACATAATTTGTTTTTATTCTTAATTATAATCGGTATTTAAAGGTCAGTTTATGTTTCATACCATGTGATTAAGTCTCTCTTACAACTTCCCCGACTAGACTAGACAAAAAGGATCATGTAAAGTAATGGTTTACACGATTCATTTCCTCATGTTATATTTACATTTTGTAATGGTCTAAAATTATCCTTACATTTTATTTTACTTTATATTTCAATAAAATAAATTCTTTCAAATACTTATTTCAGTAATCAATAATATTAAACCGTGTTTATAGAAGTGATGAACTGTGACCAGCAGTGGAATCCAGGACGTACATTTCAATCTTAATGTAAGATTAGAACATTGATCATAATAATATGATTTGAATGTGATTTAATGATACACATCTGCTTTTCTTATCCGAATTAAAATTCGGTGGGTTACAAAGTAACTGGAATAACTGCAGTGTTTTGATTGATCATTTGTCCACAAAATCCAGACACAAATATCAAGTTACATTTCAACAGTCAGAGCCAATACTATAAGATTTGATTATCAATGATGTAACTGATACACAAGATGAAATGACATCGGATAACAAATTTGGTTCATGGACAATGAAAAAATCCCAAAAACTAACCACTTACCCATTCCTTATAAAATAAATAGTTTGTGGTCAGCAGTGAAACTCAGGAAGCTTGTATTATCTTATTTGGAACTTGTCAGCTAAATGTACTTCCGCCTCAGTTTTAATGTTTAAAGTAAGGTTTCGAACCGTTCACATGATGATTATTTATTAGAATACACATTGTAATTAAATATTTATGACTACTATACATGATAGTTGAGGTAAAACTGTGGTGAATGCTACTTATGTTTGTCCACATAGGTAGTATGTATCACCGATCGGAAGAGGAATGTTTGTCAAAAACGGTTCAGAAGATCTAAATGAAGAAAACAGAAAGAGAAATAGGAAGGAATCGAGAATTAGAAGAATTGTGAAGGATGTAAAGGGGAACTAATGGGAGATTTGAAAATAAAGTATTCAATGTATGGTTTTTACATTTTACTAAAGAACTCTGTAATTTTGCAATGAATAATAAATGGATTATCCCCACATGAGTGTTCTTTCACAACAAAACCACTAAAATAATAGAAAACAATTTGTTCTTGGAAAGAAAAACATTCCTGAAGTTAGTATGTCAATTCATATATTTGTACATCGTACCTATCCAAAATGCATTGGTAAGGACTGTTACGGTTTCGATGCATAACACAGTTTAAAGTGACTTGACTTGACGATTGTCAATATTGTTGATTGTATGGATTATGAGACTAATATGATGTCTTGTTTTATTAAAAAGTATGTAATATGAATTTTATTACATCAAAAATATATTATTATTATTCAGATAAGTGAAGAAAAATATTTGTATTGGGGTTAGCAAAGGAATCCTACTGTCAATTATCAAGTTGATTAGTATTTAACTAAGACTTATTAAGAAGTTTGAGTAATACATTACCTATTTTAAGTTTATTCATGATGTTTACTAATCTTGGGGAAGATTGGAAAAAAGGTCAATAAAATAGCAGGTAGCATTACGTTTGATTAGAAAAGTTACATGTTATTGATTCAACATCCAACTTAAACAAAACTATCTATTTCGGTAATATTTGGATTTTAATTATCTAATCTTGAAAATCAGTAAATTTGAAGTACAGTTAGCATTTAGTTATTATATTATAGTTAATATAAAGAAACCTGTATACTTCGCATTTATTTGAGTTTTTATAATACTGAATTATTTTCAATGTCCTTATGTTCTCATTAGTTTATGCACATTTGTGTGTTTAAATATGACGATTTTAATCACAT